ATCAAAATTTTGATGTTTGGCAACAGATTCGTATTTATGATGGTTTCAGTGTCCTGGGGACACTGATTTTTAGCATTTATGTTTGTTTGAAAACAGGCTTTTGGAACAACAAAAATGCTATGTTAATTACAAAATACAAGACACAAGATACAAATAAAATGCTTTTAATGAATCAGTAGTTCAAGCACAGAAATAAAAAAAGTGAAAAAACAAAATGATATAATCTCATTTTTTCCTGTAAGAAATCATTTAAATAATAAATGGTTTCTCAACATTTTCTATGCATGCTTCCTCATCAACTTTATTTTAATCCACACATATAATGTTGAGAATATCAACTCTTGAAAGCTAGCCAGTTGACCCCCAATCTTCTTCATTAAAAAATTTCAGGAGCTGCAACATCTACAAGAAGCAAAGCATAGAGAGGGCTGTAAAGCCCTGTAAAGCATTATATAAGTCTAAATGCTATTACTATAACATCAAGTAAATTAATTAAACAGCAGTGCTAATTATATATATATTGAAATTCCATTTCATCACCATAGCAAAGATAACCATACTTCAACAAATAAACCAAAGAATGTTTTCTTAGTTAGATATAGGCATGATATGCATTTCTGCCTTATAATGTCTTCTGATGACATGTGCTCATTGTATAATCAATGGAGACTCCAGTCCAGGACCTGGATATTAGTGTCATAAACTCAATATAACGTATTTCTATTTTGAATTTTTTTGTTATTGACGTTTTAAAAATTGTCCTGGGAATCTTTCAAAGGACAGGCTATAATTCAAGTACATAAAAAGTCAAATGCACAAGCAGGATTTTAGTTTGAGAGTTGGGTGACAATGTGTTCTTTGTATTTTGCTTTAGTTAATTTAACATTCAAGTGGATTTCTATGCTTCTCACTTTTTTCAACATTTCCTTGATTCAGAAAGGCTGTTCATAAAAACTGTGATATATAACAGAATGAAATAATAAGATAGCCTTAAGCAAATCATCATCATTTGTCCTTCTACTAGTCTACCTTTCTTATAATCAGATGCTGGCATTTAAATAAAATGTCTGTGAGGGTATGGAATGAACATACAAATTATTCCATGTATCATAAAAAGGGTGGTTATGAAATGAGTTGAAAAGTTTCCTCTGTCCAATCATTTCTGACTCTAGGGTGTGGTACTCTTCTGTTTCTTAGATGAGGGAGCCAGCATTGTACAAAGACATTTTCTGTGATTATGTAGCTAGTATAGCAATACTCCGAAGCACACAGAATGCTGTTACCTTCTCACCAAAGTAGTACCTATTTATCTACTTGCATTTGCATGCTTTTGAACTACTAGGCAAAGAGAAGCTGAGGCAATAATAGGAGCTCACCCTGTCTTGTAGCACTCAGATCTAAATCCTTTCAGCTTTCCAGCTAGCAAGTTCAGAGTCTTTAACTGCTGAGCCATCTCACCATTTTACTGCAAAGTAGGGTATTTTGTTATAATACTGCTTCTTCTCTAAGTCTATTAAGACATTATAGTATAATCTATTACTTTTTTTAAAAAAAAAGTCACACTGCTATGATTCTGATGGGCATTTGAAAATGGGATTGCTTGCCATTTTGCTTTCTAGAATAATATACATTTTTTCAGGAATCTTTATCAGACTTTGAGTTAGATCAGGCTAGGATAACAAATATTCTAATATTAATACCACCTTTTTATAGGGTGTAGTAGTGACAGAATCTTGCCATGTGCCTCCTGTGTACCTGTCTTTATCTATAAGAGAGTCAAGGTAATTTTGGAGGATCAAGTCTACAATGTTTTCTCAAATTACATTTCTGCTTTGGACTCAGATTTCATTTAAGTTAACCCTGTAGCTCTTCCTCCTGTTCCACAAGGTTACTCCCAAAGCCCATTACACTTTTCTAGTTTATTTGCTATTCTAAGCTCTTTGTAACCTCTGAAAAATGTTCAACAAAAGAAGAATCCATTCAAAAGAAACATGGATGCTTCTGAAAAATACACTCCAAAATTATTGTTTTTTATTATTACTATCAGCAGCAAACAAACATTTAGTGATTACTTTTGGATGAGTCAGCAGGAGAATCCTTTATTTAGCAAAGAACATAGTAGAAATGAAAAGAAACTCACCACAGATGTCGTAGAGGCATTGATGTGTGTTTCATGGCCACAAGTGCTCCACCCCAATCAAGGAACCATACATTGTATTCTTCCTCAAAGATCTGCAAATGAGAAAGGCATAGCATGAACTTCCAAGAAATGTGAAATAAATATATTACAGAAAGACCAGTTTATTGATGAAAAAAATTACCTGTCTCCAGGAATTTCCACCATCGGAAGAAACAAACATGCCAATCTCAGTGTATGACAATTCTGTGCCCACATTACCTAAAGTGCAAGAAGATATATACAAATAAGCTCCTAGGTGGCTTGAAAAGAACAATATGTTTCACCAGCAGAAAAACAATTGAAAAATTGTATCTAAAAATTTCTATTGTGTTAGATTGGAGAATATCACAAAACCAGGATGGGAAAAATAAAAGGAATGAGTACATATATAAACAAATACATTAAAATGTAGAGCTACCTAACTGAAAGGCATGTCTCATAGATCTATGTTTGCATTGAATAATTCCAGAGTTTATTTGCAACAGGGCTACACTAGTTTTAAAAGGACATGATTAATTTTTGGAACAAAGCACACCTTCAAAACTTGGCTTAATTTCTTTGTTAAACAGACCAACTGTGCCCTTTATTTGGACTTCATTCATTTACACATTCCTGTTCCATCAAGGATAAAAATGGAATATCCCCAGATCTAGGTAGTCCTAATCCCGCAGAACTTCAGCCTGATTGTATCGGAGACAATTTAGCCCTACCAAAAGTTCAATTGGTCCCTATCTGAACCAGATACTGCAACTGAATGTCAACAGCCTCTCCTGGCTGGCCTAAAGTTGAAACCTATAACTGGGTATCATTAGTGTATTAATTATACTGAATCCCAAACTGATAAATGATCTCACGCAGCAGTTTAATATAGATGTTGCATAAGAAGGAAAATAAGGAAAAAAGAGTCAAGTTGCAATCTCTCCCTGAAACCAATACTGAAATTGGCCTCAGAGGAACGGAGAGAACTACCATAATAAAATGATCTCTATTCTCAACCCCAAAGTGAGCCCTAAATGATGCATGGTCAATTGTATCAAAATTTGCTAAGAGATCAAAGATCACAAGGATGAGAAACCAAGTCTATCCCGACTCTACCACTGGTAATTTAAAAACATGATCAAGGTGTATCAGATTGAAACTAGTTTAAATAATCTGCTTCCAAATTCTCGTAAAATAAGAAAAAACAAAAAGAACCAAGGAAACCATCTGCAACTCAATTTAAATAAAGTTTCCTAAATTATATATCTGATGGGGAAATCAACTTTAGAAGTTATAACTTCACCATAAGAAAATATGGCTAAATGAAAATTAGCTGCTTCTGCTTTGTTTTATATTAAAAATGAAAGGAAGATAAAGTCAACTCCCAACTTTTATCACTTCAGAGCAGGCAAAATAAATACACACTAATGAAAATGTTAATTGAGCATCTGACATTTAATGTTGGGAAATGAAGAATGAAAACCCAGATGTAGCTTGACGTATTCCTACTAGTGAGTAAAAGGTACAGCCTGCCAACTTGAAAAGACACATAATTTGCAGAAAAAAATAAAACCTGAAATTTAAGGGTCATGATTGATACAAAAAGTCATATGAAAAGTTCTTGATAGAAACTATTAAATTGCATCATTTCATTATTTTAATGAATAAACTTCAAAAATTGTTCCTTGCATAAAATTCAAATTCCTGTGCTGCATATACACTTTGCCTAATCCTCTATGTCCAAACCTGAAACTCTGCCATTGGTTCAGAACATAACAACAGAAAGCCATTTAGCTCTCTCCCTTTCATTTTCCCTAACTGTGGGTGATTCTATGGACATCTTAAAGGTAAAGGTAAAGGTTCCCCTCGCACCTATGTGCTATTCATTCCCAACTCTAAGGGGCGGTGCTCATCTCTGTTTTAAAACTAAAGAGCCAGTGCTGTGCAAAGACATCTCCATAGTCCAGCATGACTAAATACTGAAGGTGCACGGAACACTGTTACCTTCCCACCAAAGTGGTCCCTATTTTTCTACTTGCATTTTTTACATGCTTTCAAACTGCTAGGTTGGCAAAAGCTGGGACAAGTAATGGGAGCTCACTCCATTTTGCAACCCTAGGGATTCAAACCACCGAACAGCCGACCCTTCTGATCGACAAGCTCAGCCACCGTGTCCCTGATATGGATATCTTAGAAACCATGTATTTGAGATGCTCTTTATATTTGGATTGGTGTAATCACATCTCCAACTTCAAAACACACACACACACAACTTCACATCTTTCTTAAAAATGCCATTTTTAAATCTGCTTTTTTTGAAAAATGGGCCATTATAAGTAGTAAGCAGTAAGCAATTCATTCACTATGAGTCTGAATCTCTGCCAGACCTCCATCAAACATGTTCTTATTTAGAGAGAAAATTGATTCCTAGTAAATAAGAGTTCTGTTAGGCATGTTCATTATGGATTTCATTACTAATTTAGTGATTGCTTAATAAAAAATATCAGTAACCTTTTAACCTTTTCCCTCTGGAATTCTTGAATAAAGAAGGCACTCTTATACTTTATAAATTATGCAAAGAGAAGCTTATTTATGGTGCATACCATGTATTTTATTTTAATAACTGTCTAAAACTGTCTGTTCAGTTGAGTCTACTAATACTTTTGATGGTGTTTTCAGGTGTTTTTGCATCCCTGTAAGAAATACCACATTACACATAGAATGCAGACAACCAAAATTTTCTCCTGAGAATCGGCAGTCTTATTTCTACATATGTAGACAAGGAGTTCTTCCTAATGTTAACTTCTGCCCATCTTCATAAGCAAAGGGCAGTTTTCTTGATTGGAAAAAGAACATAACAAATGGATGAGTGCAAGGACAAGCTCTTTTTTGAAGTTTGATCCAGCTATAATTCAGGGACGTGCAGTCACTAGAGGCAAGGGAGGCGGANTGTAATGAACAAAGTATTTAATAAGAATATTTCATTCATTCAGATCTAGGATGTCTTATTTTTGTGTTCCCTTTATTTTTTTGAGCAGTGTATAATTTTACAGGTAAGATTACAACTAATTAAAATTGTATGTTTAGAATTTCTCTGAACCATCATTTCTATTACTTTTAATTCATTTATTATGCAACTCTTAGCAAACATCTCAGCCACAGTAATGTGCTTGTTCTTAATAGCTTTTATCAAAGAAATGGCTTATTGTCACAAAGAAATATGATGTATAATAAATATGATGAATAAATAAAAAGTGTGTAGCACACAGGTGTCAAACTCGTGGCATCATGTTGCCATCATGTATGCCGTCACAATGTATTTTTCAATTCATGGAGTTGGGATGGGTGGGGCCTCACATGATGCATCCGGCCTGTGGGCTGCCCGTTTGACAACCTTGGATAGGACATGAACTGAATACTTATATTTAGAAAGCAGTAGTTTCCATCTTCATACCCTTTGCAAACATCAAAGAAATTTAAAAGAGGGCTGCAAAGTTGGGTAGCCTGGTTCAACTCAGTGTATTTACAGCTTGTTGTCTCCTTTACTATATGCAGCAGCTATTTGCATTCCATAATAATAGTAGTGTTTGAGTGTGAGACATGTTTAACTGTTCTCTCCATTGTTTATCTTCAGATCTGCATAACTTCAGAAAAAGAACATGACGGATTTATCGAAGTATGCAGTGGGAAAAAAAAGGGCTTTGTCCCAGTAGATGTCTTAGAACACATCTGAAATTTGCCCGCTCAGCAACTGCAATACAGTAGCAAAGCTTTGCCAGGAATATCTGCTTGCTTCATTTTGCACTGTGTCTACCCAAACAAGCTGTCTTGGAGATGACTAGGGGAATCAGGAGACAACTACAAAGACCAACTGCATTTAGTTGCAGAGTTCTGTTATCGGGTGAGGAGGCCTTCCCTTTTTAAAAAAAAATTAAAAGGCAGTTTAAGTGAAACATGTAGACATAAATTTGGGAAACATGCTGCTCTGCAGGTTTCTTTTAGATAGGTTAAATTGGTCAGCATGTATATCTAAAAACATGCAGATCACAAATGTAAATTCTGATTATGCAACTGATGAATAACATTTTTCCCAGTGAGGCCAATTAGATGTTGTTGCCAAAATAACATTTTTTTATGTGTGTACATGGATGTGAACATTTGAGGGTAAATGCATACACACACAACATTGGCTTGTTCCTGTGGGTGGTCAGTTTCCTTCAGAATGAAAAATGCATATATCCACAGATGAAAAATATATGGGATGAAAGAAAAAATAAATTAACACATTGAAAAATGAGCACACATTCAAACAGCAAAGTTTGACAGTTCACCTGAAAGCTAGAATCAGCTATAAGCCAACACAAAGTCAGATGTGTGTATAAAAACTTCTATTAAGTCTAACAGAAATATCACTGCTTTGGGATAACAGCCTCTGACAGAAGCCAAAATTTTGGTCATTTCACATTTTGTTTTGACACCCAATATAAACAACATCGTTTTGATTCCAGTTGAATCAGTTTCGAGTCAGCTTTTGCCTTTGTAGCAGTACAGAAGAAACACTATTAACCTAACTTGCTTTATATCATTGTTTGGTTTCAAACCACTGACCAGAATTAGGGGGTTCCTCAAATGATTACATTGTATTTTAGTATGCAAAGACCCGATAATACTATATAACCATTTGTACATGCTATTGTTTATTTCAATGCAATATATTGTCATTCTGCCCTGTTTTAACTGCTTCTCTTAGTTCAATTTCTCTTTCATTCCTGCCTCATAGGATAAATATTAATATTAGTTTCGATTTACGATGGCCTTTAATTATTGTCATTTCTTTTGATACCAAGCAATAAAGTAATTTTTAAAAGACATTTGGGTTGTTTTATATTGATTCATGTTTCTGTTACAAGCAAATGGCTTTCATCTTTTTTCCTACCACCATTGATGGTGAAATCAGAAATGCATGTGCACATACATACATCTTTTGCTATGGTGGATCAAAGGCTTTAACATCCATACAGTATTCATGTTTAATATTGGACACTGTTTTAAGCCACTGCATGAATCAACTTTCTGTTAAGTGTTCCTCATATTTAGAATTGCATTCAAGTACTGTATTTTTTGGAGAATAAGATGCACCAAGATTTTGAAGAGGCAAATTTTAAAAAAAGTTTTTGCACTCTGCAGACCTCCCAAAAATGGCAGTTTTTCATGAAAACAGGCCTGGGATTTTTTTTTCC